CACATAGAATTAAGGCAGTTCTGAAGGCGAAAGGGGGTCAAACACCGTATTAGTATGGTGTTCCTAATAATCCTTTAGGTGAGTGTACATATATCTACAATGGTAATGCAGACATCAGTAATTGTTCATTTGTGGTCATGTTCTCACATCAGAGGATTATTTTATGGGTTTATTGTGTGGATGATTGAGGGAAAGTGCAAACTGACCCTAATCCCTGAGAACTCAGTCATCTGTGTATAATTTACAGCAATAAAGATAAATACATAGAGCAACTACAGCTGCTGACTTTTGTTGTTAAGGAATACAAGATATCGCCTTTGTCCTTATTTTTTATTTTATTTTAATTTCAATATTTTAATACTATTTGATAGAATAGTCAACGCAATTTATGTAAAGTGACCCAAGTATGGAGAAAACTTGGGTTTGTGGCTTCTGTTTTGCAAAAGTCTTTACCCACCATCTCTATGGCTTGCGCAATTGTCCATTAAATCTCATCAACTCTAAACAAATCACAACTTAGCAGGGCTTTAATTAAATCTTCACTACAAAGTTAGTGTGGCATCTGGACTGAAATATGTAAAAGGATTATTCCTGCTGTGATAGCAAAGGCAGCCATTGCACTTAATATCTCAGGCAGAATTAAGTGAAAAATTACCGGGAACATCTGAACTTCCAGTTCTGCTTAGAAATATTTTTATGCGCCAGTGGACTCCTAGGAAGCCTACTTATCAGTAAGCCACCATGAAGGGTACATGCAAACATCCATTTCAGTCAGCAAAGGCAATGAGTCACTTATTCACCCAATCATCAGGATCAAATCAGCCCCCAAATGCAATCTACCTAAAACACTTGGGGTGGATGGCTGCAGCAGTAGGTCCTGTACCAGCACACTGACATTTACATCACTGTGTATCTTTGCAGTGTATCAGGTTTTCACTTAAATATTTTCTAGTCATTTTGATATCTTGAACTATAGCACATTTCACTTTTTTGGAAATATCTGGAAAGTCGTTATCAAAACATGTTATTCTTTACAGCCAAAACATACTTATACTGGAGAACAACCAAGCACATTCCTTCATGAAAGATAAATGCTACATATTATTCCTTCATTCATTATGACTAATGAATACAGACTCCTGGGTGTGCTCCAAAGGAATTTAAAAAATATGTGAATTCTTTTTGTCCCTTTTCGAGTGCAGAAATCCAGAAATCCATCACTGAACAAACAGGTGTGTTGTGGAATGCATTTGATCTACTACTGTTGACTTCTTCTAGGAATGAGACTAATGGTCAGAATAGATTTGTAAAATTATCATTGCTGATTTCAAGAGGGGCAATGTCTCGATGAAGTTTCTTGCATTGTCCTTTTTATTTACACTACTGTATGTAATAGAATATACATTATTAATTATGCTGTTTAGAAACAACATTCATATTACCTTTTTATATACAGCTAAACTGTGTAATTAGCAGTGTTATACGATATAAGGGCAATTGTTGATTTACATTACATTTACATTTTAAAATAAAATGTCAAACATTTGTGTATTTGCACCCAGGTTGATGCAATTATCATGCTTCTAACAGCAAGTAATGCTAATCACCCTTGTCATTAAAAAAGCAAAGTACAGCAAAGAAAGTAAATTTGCCTACATCAGCCATAATTTAGTCATAAGAATTATCATATAATGTTTGTTAGTAATGCATTTTAAAGTTGTTAAGGTACAGTCCTGGTCAGAATTATTGGCACCCCTCACAGTACATAATGTAGAATATCTTCAGAAATATATGCAAGTGAACCAATTTTGTAAATGATAATATTCAATAAAAATACCCAAAGCTATTCAGCAAAAACATCAATAACATAAAGCTTTCATATAGTGAAATAAAAATGTAGACATAAAATGTACATTGGACACAATTATTGGCACCCTTCATTAATATTTGATTGCAGAACCTTCTGCAACAATGACAGTTTCTAAAGGTTGCTTGTAGCAGTCTATAAGCTTGGTAATCTTCTAATTTCATTGTTCTTTGGATACAAGTCTATGTTTTGATGTTATGGTATACTTACATGCTGTTTATGAATGTTCTATGAATGCATTACAAAGGCATTATGAACGTGCACTGAATGTTTTATGAATGCATAATAAATGCTTTGTGAAAAATCAGTTAATGTAAAGCATTAACGATTACATTTGTAATACTACACCTAAACACATTGGGCAACACAGTAAAAGCCTACACAAAAGCAATTGGCTGGCCCACCAAGTGATTTGCATATAAGAGGAGTGTCTCTGACAAACTGAATGGCTCATTTTTCCAGTTTTCATATGGAAGCAGTTCAGAAGAGTCTGTTTCTCTCAGAGGGAAAATGTATGAAGAGTAGCTGTTTTCACTGTGGCTTGGCAAATGTAAGAAATTATGTCTGATAAGAGACATCTAAGCCTCTGGCCAAAGTTAGGGGTAAGTCATAAAATTGCTTCTATTAACAGCAAAATCAGCAGTATATTATATCTGGTATCTCATTTATTTTAGTATATTGCAATGGATATTTATACATGCATGTAGTGGTGTATATTATATTGTGTGTGTATGCTATTATTACTCATATTTACTATGTGATATGCACATTTAAGTATATTTTTTAAATATGGCATTATTATCCATTCCAGGGTTTGTGCATTCTTCTGCTTTTTATTAGCCCTGTCTCCTGCTTTTCAAATTTCAGCCAAGCAAAACAACTCATCTATAAAATAAAAGAAGGCTTACCCACAAGAACACTCATTGGGGCCATTGGTGCTGACCTGAAACTGGATTTTGCTGTTGACCCCCCTCTGTTATTCAGTCTGGTATTAAACATGATTTGTGAACACTATATAAGCTTAAATAACAGAACAGGGGAACTGTACACTTCCCACAGACAAATCGACAGGGAAACTCTTTGTCTTCAACTCTCAGACGGGCAAGACTGCTTCTTGGCCTTGGATGTGTTCATCCTTCCTCAGCAATACTTCCAGCTGATCAAAATCAAAATTCTTGTGGAGGATATAAATGATAACAAGCCCAATTTCCCAATAGAGGAGATTCACTTATTTGTTCCAGAGAATGCACAGTTAAACTCCAGATTTGCGGTGGAGCAATCTGCAGTTGACCCTGATAGTAACATTAATGGAATACAGACATACTGGCTCACAAACAATTATGGAATTTTCACTCTGGATGTGGAAGAGAACGGTGGAGGTGAGATGACCCCGTTTTTGATTGTGACAGGATCCCTTGACAGAGAAGCTATGAGCGTATACACAACAAGCATTATTGCTGAGGATGGGGGATCGCCACCCCTGTCAGGTACTGCCACCCTAAAAATCTTTATTACAGATGTTAATGACAACTGCCCAAAGTTTACTGAATCGCAGATCAACATCACGATGTATGCAAACTTCTCAATAGGCACTCATATAGCTAGTCTTCATGCCCATGATCCTGACCTGGGTGAAAATGGCAAGATAACTTATGTGTACAGTGACAGAGTGCCCAGAAGTTTAAGGGCTATATTTAACCTGGACAAAGTCACAGGGGTTATTAAACTAGCCAGTAAACTAGACATAAACACCAGCAAACATTACATGCTTTCAGTTCTCGCAGTCGGACCAGGCTGCATATCTGCGGTAGCCAAGGTGTCTCTGCATGTCATCAGCCTAGTCTCTGCTCCACCAGTTGTGATACCACGATATATCGCTGCTGAGAAAGATGGAATCGTGTCCTTGAAGGAATCTGAACCACCTCCCTCTCCAATAGCATTTTTCACCATTAAAAATACTGAGCAGCAAGAAGTGGACTGTCACTTAGAGGGTGATGGCCCTTTCAGACTGTCCATTTAAAAAATGAATATATTTTGGAAACCACAGATTCACTAGACCATGAAGAAATTCAGGAATATAAGTTGACTGTGGTAGCTAATAATTCTCTCGGTGTGGTCATTAGAACATTTGTCAAAGTACAGGTGCTGGACGAAAATGACAACACTCCGGTTTTTGAGAAGTCCAATGTTGATTTATTTATCAAGGAAAACAACTCTCCAAATGCATTCCTCACCAAATTGCATGCCAATGACAAAGACAGTGGAGACAGAGGAAAGGTACTTTATCTGCTGGAGCTTGATGTTCCTTCGGTTTTCACTTTGGACAGAGTGACTGGGGTTCTTCTGGCATCCATGTCACTGGACAGGGAGGAAAAGGAAAAGTACAGCTTTAAGGTGAGGGCTATGGATTGTGGTTCCCCACGCAGAGAGACCTTTGCCACTGTGACAGTAACAGTATTGGACAAAAATGACAACAGCCCACGCTTTATCAACAAAGACTTCACTTTCTTTATTCCTGAGAACTTTCCAAACCTTGGGGAAATAGGAGTCCTCTCTGTGAGCGACGCTGATTCAGGAAGAAATGGATTTGTGGCCCTATCAATTGTTAATGGCAGTGACATTTTTGTCATCGACACTGGGAAAGGGGTCCTTAGGGCCAGAACTCCCCTGGATAGAGAACAGCAGGGCACCTACTACCTGTGGGTTGAGGCCACAGATGGGGGAGAGCCCTCCCTCTCAACTGTTACAATAGTAACCATTATACTTCTAGATGTCAACGACAATGCACCTGTGGTTCTTTTCCCACAGTCCAATCAGTCATACCTGTTAGTGCTGCCCACTACTCTCCCAGGGACATCGATAACAGAGGTATATGCTGTGGACAAAGACACTGGCATGAATGCAGTGATAGTTTACAGTATCATTAAAAGAAAGGGAGGTGAACCGGGGTCATTTGATATTGACCCCAAAACAGGGAACATTACCCTAAAGAAAACTCTGAATTACAGAGGCCTGTACAGTCTGCTGGTTAAAGTCAGCGATCACGGTCAACCGGATCCTCTCTCTTCCATGGTGATGGTCAATTTCTTTGTCAATGAAACGGTCACCAATGAAAGCTATGTACACAGTCTGCTGACAAAGGATGCGGAAATGGAAACGGAGCATATTTTAGCAAAGCTTATGGAAGCACCTATTAGAAATGAGGGCTTTCCCTGTCTGCCTGTCTTGATTGCAGCTGCTGCAGCATGCCTAGGGCTGCTGCTGACTGTGTTTTCTTTGGCTGTATGGATTTGCAGTAAAAAACAGGAAAAAAAGCAAATGCAAGTTAAGAAACTGGAGGTGGAAATCCCATTGAAAATGAACAGTGACAGGAAGCAAATGGATACCTCAGAGATATAGCCAGTTTGCTTCCAGTATTAGCCAGATTTAATCAATTGTACAAAAGTTAAGAATGTATCATTTATAAAAATAATATTAATAGAAATCATTGTTTACATTTTAGATATTTTAAGTTACCTGAAAGAAATCTGGAAGGTCACACACTTGTATGTAATTGGCTGCAACAAATAGGAAATGTTTTCCTATTTTACTTTCATAAAATGACATACATACCTTAAGACTAAGTAGGATAAGCGTTTGGGGGATGGGTGGATTGATATCATATCTACAAGAAATGCCCAGGCATTATTAAGTATTTAACATTGTATAATAAGGGCATATTCTAACTACTGTTACACTGTTATAAGGCATTTTAATACCCTCTCATTTCCATAATTGTTGAAAGAGTTTAATTTTCCTCTTTTTTTTTTTTTTTTTTAATAACGATTGGGTTAGTATTAAGTCCTCAGAACTGTTTTCAGTTTTAAAAAGTCTGAAGGTCCATTTAAGCCTTGGTATTTTTTTATATGTTGCAACCCTAAAAATCTAAATATTAAAGATTATATGTTTTCCTAATAGTTTTTCTTAATTTGCCTAGAAATCAAAACTACCATGACAGCCACTACAGTAATTTGAATTACTACACAAACATACACAATAATAATTGAAATATGCAATTGAAATATTAGTACTCAAGTGTAATACAATGCAGAATTGCATTTGTATTTGTTCAATATTTAGTCAGAGCAGTATGCAAACTACAACGCAATATGGTCTTGGCCAGAAACACTCTTTGAACACGAAAACATCTACAAAGGTGAACGATAGCTTTGTCTGATTCGTGAACAAATTCTTCATATGGACCAGTTCTTTGATTTGAAAACCGTTTCGAGTTCGACAAATTAACTGAAAAGAACCGATTCACAAGAACAAATTGTTAACGATTCGGACATAGCTACTGGTCACTTTGATAGCTGTTTTTGTGACTCTCTCCTGCTGAATATCGTGCAAATACAAATGCCATTCTGATTCTGCGTTGTTTTGGTACTAATATATCAATCGCGTTAGCAGGACTGAATTAAGCAGATTAAACGAACGAGAGGTTTTTCAGAAACGCATTAGTCGCGTCGTAGTGGGACTGACTACACAGAAAATGCGTGCAGAAACATGCCTTCATATGTATTGCATATTTGTGATTTCTGCCTGGAAGGTGTAATAAAACCAGTACGATGTTTCAGTAATCACAGAATTACCGGTTTCTTCATTGAGAGACATCAAAAGTTTCAGACTCTTTCCAAAAATTCAGCTAAAATTTACTGATTTGTAAACATGACAATATGACAGGCCGGAGATCAGGTTGCTAGTGCTTAACATTGTCAAACGAAGAGCAACAGTGCAAGTAGACAGATGATGTGTTTTTTCTGATATCCAATTTCTAGGTGGAAATGCTTCTTTTCTGCATCGCAGTTAAACACTCTACTGACAATTACAGTAAGTCTCAGTGAACATTTTACCCAGTCCAACTCCTTTGCTTATAAACGTGAAGCTCTGTCACTATAACTCTGACTGCGAGAAACAATTGATCCATTATAATACTGCCCTTCAATTAATTGAAACAATGTATTTCCTGAGACCTTGAGAAAACTTAAGGAAATAACATTTTGAAACGAGAGAAAGTGATGTGTAACCTTTTAGTATCACTCAGGAAAATTTTAATGTTCACAGAACTGTGTGTACTTGTGGATTACACTCCTCCACAAAGAATATAACACACACACATGATCCCTTACAAGTATATACATAAAGTGGGTAGGCTCGTACTGTCTGGAAAGTGGTCTATCTGAAATTACATTAAATTATTAATTATGCAGACATCTAGTAATTACTATCAGTCATGGAGTGATCACATTTCAAGATTGGCCTTATTGTTCTCACTGCTTTGGATTTAAACAAATGCAGGAATAATTAGGGGACACAGGGACATCTTAGATTACGCAGATCTGAAAATGTGATTAGCGCCGTCCATCGTTTATGATCTATGCACACCTTCATCTCGCTCTTGTGTCGCCCATGTTAATAATGCATTTTGATGTTCTCAGGAAAAAAGTCTTTGATCAAATATGGTGGGGGCACAAGATAATACAGCTTTCATTCATTGTATGATTATGTTACTGTTTTCATTTTTTGTCCTTTAAGAGACTAGAAAAAAGGTACATTTGTCCTTTAACTTATTACTGCATGCTAATCAAAGCAACTGTTATTCCCAGTTATACAGTATATACAGTATTTAAGAGAGCATTTACTACAGACAAATGGTTCTGCTTAATTAATATATAAAGACCATTTAGTGCACTAAAACACCGGCACTCCAGGGACAGGGAGAAAATCAAAGCCTTGCTATAAACACCCCCTATAAGACAGAATGATGCGATACAAGGTGGAAATGAAAAGACTGTGATTAGAGAAGGGAGTGGAAACAAGTTTAACAAAAGCTACAAGGCCAAATGAAAACAAAAGATAAACACATTTGTACGAGTCAAATATGCAGAAAAGGACATAAATGAGGCATTCGGTCATAAAAAGGGGTCTCCGTGCTTTCAGAGGCGATAGTGCAGATGATTGAGTGTGTTTCACTCCTGACTTCACTAGGCCCCCCTCCAGGATGGCCACATTCCCTCCTTCATGCACATCACAAAGTCTTTACTCACCATCTGCAGGAATGCAGTGTGTTAGCTTTGTGTTTTGGCTGCTGTAAAACATCCTACAAGTTGCAACCTGTTCACTTGGAGAACCAGATGACTAAGTCAGATCACAATTTGCAGAGACATATAGAACAAATAGAAAAAAACATACAGTTAACACTTTACTAAAGGCCATGTTTTTAGTAATTTTTTGACACATTCAAAAATAATAATAGTGTATTCATAAAGCATTACAAACATGGTTATGAATATGTATCAAAGGGCATAACATTATAGCCATGTGTACTATGCATTATAAATGCTTTATCAAGCTCTTATGTATAATGCATTATAATGCTTGGTATAAACATTAAGGATGCTTTGTACTGCATTATGCAGGTATCTATTGAACATTATAGATGAGAGCTTCATAAAACATTCATAATGCATTATAAACATGGCTATGATGTATGTGCATATACATATTTATAGTTATGTCTATAAAGATTTATGAATTAATTATAATTCATCATGAATGTGTTTATAAATTACTAAAAACATGGCCTTAAGTGAAGTGTTCACAACAGCATCTATCCATTATACCCATGTATTGAAATATAGAAAAAATAGTATATTAGGATGGTGACAGATTTTACAAAACCAATGAGGATAAATGAAAATGAAAGACAGCTGTCTTGGTGTCAGTCAGGTGAAGCAGGTGAGAATAAGAAACTACCTCTGTGCATTTCTGAATGGAAGCAACGGACCAGATGGCATGGTGAAATGCATGTGATTTGCACAAGTAATTTCAAAAGTAACTTCGATCAAGTTGAAATGAATGTCTCACAAGCAACATATGTGCAGAGGAAGCCTCCATAGCTTTCAGGGAGTCTTACAGTAAAACAGGTGGAATCAGGGGACAGGTGAAGATGCAGCAGCAGCATAAACCACATAGATGCAGCAGAAAATGCATAATGCAATTGGAATAAACCACATAGATGCCACAGAAAATGCAAAATGCCATGGGAATAACCACAGGGATGCTGCAGAGCACAGTGGGTTATACCTCAGAAATACAACGTTGAGACAATGGGTAAGAAAATAAAATCTCCTTTTTTCTTCTCCTTTCTTTCTTAGCCTGTTATCAACAGATAAGGAGTTTCCAGATAACTAGTAAGTGTGGCACTGAACAGTAATATGCAACTTTCCATGTAACAGATAAGCCATATGAGTGCATTGCAGAAAGACAGGGTACATGGTCAGATCACATCAAAAACAGCTAGAGATTTTCTCTTTCTTTTCAGAATACAGCTTTTAGCTAAAACCCAAATGTATTAGAAATACCAGGGACTTGTGTATTTTGGTGCAGTCAACAAGCACTATTTATCTATATTTTGAGACAGAGAAAGAGAGAGAAACTTTGGGTAATCAGAGACAGATCTGCTGCTGAAGCTTCACAGTGGATAAGCAGACTGTGCTGATCATCCTGTGCAATTCTATTCTTTTAGCTCTTAATGCCTTTTCTGTCCTGTTTGTTCTACCAAATTCTCTACTGTAACAATGAACTCTTCAGCGCTGATGATCTGTTTCACTATGCACTGTTGAACAGAAACAATATATTATCTTAATTTCATATCACATCAGAAATATAAAGCTGGAGTTCATCAGTGGCTTTTAATAAATGTCTGAAGAAAGAGGAAAGAAGTGTCCCAGTGGAAATGTGGTGTATTGGGGATATTTTGTATTCACAACACTGCATGTGTATGCGTTCTTTTCCACATTAACTAGGCATAATACTTGTTGCCTGGGTGATTTTCCCAGTAATATGCCTACCCAGAGGACAAAGCACATCACTCTGCTCAGGTGTCAGTGAGGCTACACTGCTTCGGACAGTGGGACCAGGCTGATAAAATAAAGCCCTATAGAGGCAAGTTGTTCACCCGACCATAAAACATTCCTTCTTGTGTTACTGAAGCTTATCAGGTTCCAAAGGGCTCTAGCAGAGAAGCACATGGGAAACTTGCCTGAATTAAAGGTCTCCTTTATGCCACAATCCCACACCAGGATGGGGGGTGAAGAAAGAAGGGGAAAAAAAACTGAACATATTGCAAACTTGGCACTCCAGTATTTCCCAACCCTCTCTTGTTGAGTACATCTTATTCAACTAATTTTGGACTTTAAGATTAGCTGCTTAATTTAATTACATTGGCTGGTGTTGGGAACTAGAGATCAGGGAACCACTGGCCCAGTCTTCTGCCTTTGGATGGCCAGAATATCTTAAAAGGCATCCAGATTTTTGTTTTTTAAACACTGGATTTCATGGGGTATATCATTCAAGAACATACCGAAATATTGAATTTAAAGAGCAGATTCGTTTTTGTTGTTTTGGAGGTGGGATCCACAGAAATTTGTGTTTTGGAGTTTCAAGAAAAACATATGTGCATACAAAGGGCATGTTGGGAAAGACCCAAAATACACAGAAGCATGCAAGACTGTTATCCCAAAATTTAAGCAATTTTCATTTCCCAATGAACGTAGACTTTGCAGTCAGTGTGTATGTCATATCAAAGTATCAAACACCAAAGATGAATGTAAATTCTATTAACACATCTGTGCACCACCTTTGAGTAAATTCCAGCTTCATGTTATAACAGAACACTGCAGCGGAGTAATGACCCTCATAAGATAATGACAATTTTGAGGCTAACTGAAGGTGAATTACTCTGAGGATTTACCCCTGCTTCAGGTAGCTTTTCAACAAGAAAAAAACATGACAATTTTCAGATAGCAAAGCTCTCGACTGAATTGTTTTGTGCACATTTTACAGCAACATTCAAGCTCTCTGTCAGGTGACCAAGAAACCACCAATGGCTTTCTGTAGAATTCACCCTACTATATGTTTGCATCTGAAGATTGTTCTTTTTTTTTTTTTTTTTTTAACTTGCCAGTGTCCCTTATTTTACCTGAATACCTTACTTATCAAATCATGATTAGAAACCTGCTACAAAGGCACCCATTTAGGCTAATGTGGCACTATGACATAACAATAACCATGCTGCAGTTCTACAGGTCTGCTCCAGTTTAGTATGTTAAATCAAACAACCCCACCTAACACTTCAGGGGTCTGTTTCATAAAGCAGGATTTCTTGCTTAGCCAGATAACTTGCCAGATTTAAGGTAGTTTGGGCTAAATAGACCTTATTTTCATCAACTTACATTTAGCCCAGACTACCTTAAATCGCAAGTTATCTGGCTAAGCAAGTAATCCTGCTTTGTGAAACAGGCCCCAGGACTGCAAGCAGCTCAGCCACCAAAACAACTTGTTTACTAACTCACAAAAACTTACACCCAGTCTGAGGCATTGAATGAGTCACACAAGTGCTGTATGTACTTGTACAGATGCACAGCTCAGTGACAGAAGTGTTAAGATGTCAGCTATTCATCTACTGAGTCACACAACATATGTTGTTGCCTTTTTAAAATGCTTCATTTTACTTACAACCTACCTGGACATTTGTGACGCTAAAACCCTTGGGAACTGAAACACTGGTTACTTATCTGTGGTAGATCTGAGGTACAATTACACCTGATCAATTAGCCATTAATGCAATTAACTATCAGCATAAAATACTAATGAGATATTCATTCATTTAGCATATGGTCTTACCCATTGCCACTGTTAATAAACCATAGGTGTGAAAGAGAAAGCAACCGCAGCACAATGTATGATCATTGATATCTGGTTTTAAAACACATTATTACATTGCACAAAGACACTCAGTGCTGATTTATTTATTTACAAAAATAAGCAAGCAAGCACCACCTTGCTTTGTGTAACAGGCAATTAAGTCTTGAGGTGGACAGCAGAATCAATTACAATTTCTTATCATGGTGCAGAGACTTGCTCTCCAAAGAAATGTAATTTGTTTTGCATATATGACATTTCCATAAATGCTTTTCTTAAGCAATCATCAGAGTTAATTTATAACCTGTAAAGATACTCTATTGCAGTGATTCTCAACCTATGGGTTGCGACCCAAGTTTGGGTCGCAGTAAGTTCTGAAAGGGTTGGAAATGTAAGCATTTTAAAACCAGCACGCTCCTAGGCTGAATCACCCTCTGATTTTCCACCTCGAAATGCTTACTACAACTAGTGAACACAACCAACCCAAGAAGTCAAACCACACGTGCTTAATTTAAAACGTACTGGCACATCCAATCAGATTTGTGCGATAGCCATTGATTCGTGCAAATTGCAGAGTGTACTACATGCTTGATCATAGTGATATTTTAAACCTATACATGATAGAGGGTCATGACTAAGCTGGCATGGTAAAAAATGGGTTGCGGTGCAAAAAAGATTGAGAACCACTGCTTTATTGCATTGGAATTGCCTTTTGCTTTGTAGCCCTCATTAAAATTTGTGAAGAAAACAAACGTAAAACTGTTAAACCATTATTATCACCACAATTTATTGACTTTGATGATACTTAGAGGTCTTAGTGCATTTGCCAGTCATTTTCCAAATGACAGCCCTTTTAAATGGAGGTTTTAGACAGCGCGCACACGCACACACGCACACACGCGCACACACATATATGACTTTTGAAATCGAGATCCTACATGAACCCATTTCAGTTCAGTCATTTTATGGGAAAAAAAATGCATACAACTGATCTTTCTTTTTCTCAGGCTTGTCTGACTCAGTCTTTAGCTCGAGGTGGTTGGTAGTACGATTGAGTTGGCCGTGTGCGTCTAGGTTGACCATCGCCTCCTCGCCGATACTCCAGGGAAGTTGCACATGAAACATCTTCATCCTGCAAACATGATAAGTAGGTCAGACACCCAAGCAAGTCTACATCCTGCAAGATATAAATCTGCATGTTATGAAACCATTTCACATTATATTTAAGTTACATAGGTTTGAAAAGTTCATAAAAGAATGCAGTTGAAGCCAGGAGTTTAAAGGTAAATTACCACAGTAATTTACACCAATACAGCTCTTGAATGGATCAAATGTTTTTTCCCCATTGTCAGTATAAAAGGAACATCTGGAATTTGTCAGGGAAAACACTATTTTGATTCCATTTATATAACTGGTAAAACAACAGGAGGACAGGATTGCACCTCTGCTCATCTCATCAACAGATCTAATCGGACTGCACAATGGTGCCCTCACATAGAAGGGAATACCTGAAGCACAAGAGTGGTCCCTTCACAAGACCTTTACAGCTGCTCTGGGTAAAGCTTTGCTTCTCCTGCACGGCTGAAGTGACTGCTCACTATAACTTAATTTTTCTTGCCTTAAGCAGCCTAAAAAAACCTAATTTTACTTGTTTTATAGTATTTCATAGTGAAGCCTTAAAGTTAAGATTAACAACCTCCTGTAAAACATTGCAAATGTGACAAATACTATTTTTTCATTCAAACGTGTCAGTAATGCTTTTTTCCCCCAACACCACTCGTTTGTACAAATACGATTGCCTTCAGTCACAAGAAGCGCCTCATTTACTTCAATAATAGGGTTTTAAACTTTGTTGAAGTCAATCAGCTTCAATATTTTTCCTTTTCTATCTTCTCAGACCTATAATGCAGTGATTAACTTCATACTCTGTACTGTCACACCTGGAAATGATATGACATTGAACCAAACACCAATAATAATCAGAAGTCAGCAAATTTTCACTAGTCACTGTAGTAATTACGTCAAGGGAGGCAATCCGTGTCAGAGGGGCAGTTTATAGTACACCACCAGTCCTGGATAAGTCATATGTTTTGTCATGTTTTTTGTTTCCTTGTGCAGTTTGAGTGCAAAAAAATAAATTTAACTTTAAGAAGAAAAAATGTTACAGAAAATTATGAACGAAAGAATCAAGATTCACATTTTTTTTTCCAGAATTGTGCAGCCCTAGTAAATATTTGAATTTTAAAGCTCAGTACCCAGTGAAGTTTTTAATACTTTTAGCCTAACTGATGTAGAAACTCAATGACATGCTGAATAGAGGAGTTGCGTCTCTGATTTTTATTCCTTCCTGATATTTATTTTAAGAGGTTTCTCACTGGTTATCAGGCAGCGTGGTAAACACTGCAACCTGTTCACTGTCAACTGTGACTTTTCCAAACATTTTAAAAACCACTACAGCAAAGCACTCAAGAACAGTTGTAGTGGACCCTGCTGTGGTCAGCAGATACAAATATATATCATATTTGCATTGAATCAACATCAGATTTTTACTCAAGCCCTTAACAGCTTAGCTCAATCATGCTACGGAAGAGCATGAATTATTTTTCCAAGCATAGAAGATTTACACTCTAGTTTGTAAATCTTACTTTTAATATGAAGGGAAAGTTACTTTTGACGTAACAGCTTGAAATAATTAATTTAGTGCTGGGACAAAAATTACCTGAGCCAGTGCAAGATTAGCCTGAGTAATACTGCTGGTAGGAAAACAAGGCAAGCTCATTTACCTTCAAGAGCCAACTCTGAAAAGTTAATCAGGGGAACACTGACAGCTGGATTTATGAACAAATAATAATAATAATAATAATAATAAATAATAATAATAATAATAATATCAGTGGTGTCACTACCGATTATATGAAGAATCAAGTAATCTACCAATTAATATGACAAGTCATCGAGTAATTTAAACACAATACAGCATAATATAATTGAACATAACTGAATAATAATATAATATACAGTGGTACCTCAGTTCTCAAACTCATTAGAACTCCAATTTCTTAAAAGTCGAACCAACCAGCTTGAAAAAAAAATTACCTAGAACTCGATCTGAATCTCAGAAGTCGAACCGTGAACGCCGACCTAAGATAACTTGTACGCGCGGTGAAATGAGTCACGTGGCACATCTCTCAGCGGAAACAAAGGGTAACGCTTCAGTCTCAGCCTCACATTTGCTGTGATAGCATGTTTACACTAGCTGAATACATATATTTGGACAGTAAAAAATTTAGACAATGATAGTAACAGTAATTATTATATAATAAAATACATTTAAAAATAAATTTCTTATTATTTTACTATTAATACTAAACCATTACTACATTTACTTATAATAATATTGTTGTACCGAGCGGGGATGGAACGGAGACAAAGGCGCAGACGTCAGGGTATCGGGGAATACGGGGTTTAATTACAGGTAAGGCAGGCAAAACGCAGATGGACAATACAATGACTGGACTGAGGAAACAAACTGAAACACGGACTAAATACAGAGGACTAATGACAACAACCAGAAACAGTTGATCACACGGGGATTCCACACGGGTTTAACGAGGGAGCATGGCACACGGAAGGAGCGGGCGATTGGGGCAGGACACATTGTTTTGTTTTTAACTTTACACATTGTTTGGATACATTTATTTTCTTACTTTACAAATTACTGTTTTGATAAATGTGCTTAGATGCGTTTAGTACAGTACATGCTCTTCTTGTTTTATCTTGTTCATTTTGTGTTTAGGTGTAATTTTTTTGGGGCCGGGAACCAATTAATTGGTTTTCCATTATTACTTATGGGGAAAATTTGATCAGAACTCGAACTTTTTAGGATTCGATCTGGAGTTAAGTTCGAGTTCTGAGGTATCACTGTAATTGCAATTAGTGCAAAGCAGGAACCAACCAACCACTCCAATTAGGACTCCGCTATATGACCTCAAATCAATATCATGATTAATTGAACATTTTACCTCTATTACAGTTAATGAACGATTATTTCAGTTTTGTTGTTTGTTTGCGCTCATATTTCACTGACAAGGTTTGTACTAAAAATATGCTTAACTCTTAAAGTGGGGATATTTTTTCGAGTGAAAGACCGTATCTTTGCGATGTTAAAATAACTGAAGGAAACACACAAATGAACTATTTATGATCATTTACTGAATATTTCAAACAACTGAAATCAAAGCACAAATAGCTTATTATAACCTCCATTGTACCAAGATAGATTTTATTTTGTGATCTCTAGAAAACAAGTCATGATCTCGATACAAGACAAAAAAAGATAATAATGGATGTCCTCTATGGACTTCTGTACAATGCAGAGTTGCAGTAAAATGATATGGACAAAGCAGTTGTGTGTTCACGTGAACAGGTCATGTTAAAAGTTCCTTGCTTTAAGTTTTCTTTCAGTTCGTTACGTAATAAATGGAAAGTAAAGTTAAATTTGTCTCTTTTTGCTGATCTGAAAAACGATCTGATCCATGACTCAAATACTGTGATACAAGCCCAAACTGTGAATTTTGCAATCTGTTGTACCCTTAACCTATACCTAGCAAGCTACCTAGTGAACACATTTCTTACATTGCACAGCTGATGGTGACACATTACAGATCTCCATTACAGCTATGGCTGAAATACTTCTCACAAACGGAGAAAATAAATGAGTAGCTATGTATGACCCAAACTTGACAAACGTGGAAGAGTGAGTTGGTTCCGATAATATTAGACAATGATATTGATTGGTTGTCCGCGATAAAAACATTGTTCTGTCTTTTGCACAGTACTGTAAATCTAAGTAGTGACACAGGCAGGCTACGTTAATCCGAAAGACTAAATGGCAAACATCTAATACATTTAGTGGGGAAAAAAAGAAAGTTGTTTTGCATTCTAAAAGGGAAAAATAAGATTTTTTGCTGGCTAGCTAAAATTTTAACTGCCCTGACTGTGGAATGATTTCACGACATCGCGGATTTAAAAAGCATGGTAATGCATGGGCTTCTTACCCTTGAGTGTTTCGGCACAGGTTTGATGTTTTCAAGAAGAACCTCTTCACAGTTCCCATAATCGGTAAACACAACTACAGCAGTTGACCCAGAATGGTGTACAGCATTGATTTGGGCATGGTAGAACTAGAGAGGGGAAAAAAAATATTAAAATGTAATTTAAATATAAATCTGCTACAACCATCATGACCTTTTCTACAAACCATTTCCAATGTTTCCTACAACTGAAGAGCTATTTTTAATTATTAGAAATAAGTTAAAAAATAATCATACAACACCTTATTATCTTCCCAGTAGAGTGCAAGGCACTGGTCTCCTGACTTCCAGTTATTTGCTCCATGAGTGCCTGACATTGTGCTGAAGTTCTGTTTAATAGGTCCAGTTCGTTTGCGTTGCGAGGTTCCATTCTGTACCTGTTGATTTGTAGTGATCTGGACCCCAGCTAAATCTTGTGTTCCCAAAGTATCCCTGTTCCCCCGTGGATTGGGACAATTCTGAGCTCCCTCAGAACTGGGCTTTCGGTTATTAGCATCAGGGTTTGGCCTGTCAACCTTCCCCCTCCTCTTCTTTATGTCGGGCTTGCTGTCAGGCCTAGAGTGTGTGCCATTTTCTTGAGGTCCTTTCTTTAAAAGTGGGTCTGCTTCTTGCTGGGATCTTACAGAAACTGCATTACCCCTGGATGCTTGTGTGGAATCCGTGCGAGTGGCCTGGTCCTTCAATCGTGGGTTTCCCAGAAACACGTCGCTCCCCTTCCTTCCCTCATCATGCCATCTAACCTGGTTGTCAATGATGGTCCTCTCTGGTCCCCACTGGTATCTTTGGCCGGGAGCAGGTGGGTCCGCTGTGGGCCTGGGAAAGTCACTGTCCTTCAGGAAGCGAGGGGGCTTCTCATTCCTCTGCTGCCGCCCTTCGTTTCGTGGAGGGTATCGGGAGTGGGCCTGGTCTTTGTTTGGGAATACTATTTTGGTCTGTGGATCCTCATACTTCTGGGAAGCCTGGCTCTTTGGCTCTATGATAAGAATTGCATGCATTTCCAAAATTCTTTTAGAATTTAATCAGTTACAAAATAGGACATTATTGTTCCTCCTCATTGGCCAAAAAATTATGTCTGTAAAAAGCTGAATAAAATTCTCTTACCTTGAACCGAAAACGCACTCATTTTTGATTCCAGGAAATCAAACAACGTGCTGGGGCCAGAAGGCCTTCCTCCTGCAATGTCATCTTCCTCTATCCTGGATCTTCCTCGCCCCCTCCCCTTCGCTGTTTAAAAAATGGTTTTCATTTAGATCTTTAACAAATGTAAATCTGACCAGTAAAGTGATTGTTGAATAGGTCTGACCATTTGAACAAGTCAACCACAGAAACCCATGATTCTGAGGGATAATTGAGGGTCTGCTTCACCTCTGGGTGGTGGTCGGCTAAACTCTGCGGGAGCAGGGCTGGGCTTGTCAGTGGACAGCAGGGAGTTGAGTGCTGGCTCCATTTTATTATTGTTGTCCAAGAGGGCCTGTCGTGCAGCATCTTTGCTGAAGCCCATTTCCATGATATCTTTAAGGGCTCGCTCATCCACCTGAGAGATCGACAAGTTAGCAAGATAATAACCAAAGAGCACCACATTACGTTATCAAAATGTGGCCATATTCACAAATTTGGTTTTATAGTGTTTAAAATTCAGGGACTTGCCAGCTCTCGGTAGACTCCTTCTGGCTGACTGTCAGGCTTCTCATCACGCTTCTTCTGGTAGAATTCTCGAGCCTTATGTGTAGAGCCAGGGTTGGTGAGATTGCTGCCTGCATTGCCCCCACCACCGAATGTCCGAGGCTTCAAAGAATTGGTAAAACAATTATTTTAATTAGTTCAAGTGACAAGATTATTTAAAATGACATTTAATTCAATTTTACTCTGATTCAGATGTATTTGTTACCTCTTTGTTCTTTGCTATCTCTGCAATGGTCGCAATCCTTTGCTTCTCAAACTCATCATTCTCATCAGCAGTCTTAACAGAGTTGGTGACTTGCAGTGTCTTCCTCTGGTCCAGCTCTTTGCTGTCCACTTGATCTTTAGAAACATGTTTCTGAAAAGATCAATATTATAAGACAGTGACAATATAATAAAACCTTGCAACAAAGCTCTGCCATGAAGAACTTAATGTAAAACACATAATTAATGAACAAAGAATTAAGGATTGATGTGTTTTAAGAGAACTATTAACTACTGCTATTTGTTTTTTTCTGATCATGATTTTATCATTAGTCGTAGACTACATGTTGCATTCTTTAGAAAGAATCATTGCTGCAGTTGTGCAACAATAAAGCAGAGTGATTCTCAGAGAACCATGGAGGCTTGATCAATACTGTGACCTTTCTAACTAACAAGTGGTCGCAATGACCAAGGAACTGGTATAATAATGAAGTGAAGCAGACAGACCTTTCCAAAAGGAAGGAAGGGAGGCGGGCCCCCTTCGGCACCAACATTACTCCTGCTGTGTTTTGCCAAACTCTAATCAATGGTGAAGAGAGGAAAAATTAGTGGCACATTCAGAAGTCAGAAGCAGAGACTGAATGCATGGTAAGCTTGTGGTGAATTCCTTTATATTCTCCAGTGCATTGCTATGATAAAACTTTGATTAAATGTATATAGATGATTAAATGCGTATACCATTGCTGAAGTGGTGGCTTTTAATTAAACCTCTTTATTAAACTAATACCTTCTAATTAAAATGGGGAATTAATTCTAAATAAGTCTATGGATCCTTTTGCAGTTTTCATAGATGCTAGTGTGCAAGTAATGATATATACTGTAGTTTGCTGTATCTAATATCTTATCTGCATGATCTAGACAGAGAGCCTGTCTTTGCATTCCTAAAAGAAAACTGTGCATGTTACGTAACTTCAGTGACGACTGAATAATACTTAATCTGACAGTACAATGTCAGTCCACATAATTATACATCCACTTGTCTTTGCATCAAGAAAATGTTCTATAACCACAAAGCACTGAAAATAGTCATTAATACATGGACATTTTCAATAGTGATGTTCTTACTCTTTGCAACTCCCATTTTTGAATCATGTGATCAACTTCTCCGCCAAGAACAACAATTTTGGAATCATCCAGCAGCAAGAAGCCATTCTTCAGAGTCACTGGGCCAAGGAGCTTCACTTTAGTTCCAGGAGGAGTGTTCAGACTGTAAACAATAGAGATTAACATGAAGCTGCACGTGTGGCCTTTTTAAGGAATACAAAAAAAAGTTTAGAAAAAATGGTTTCAGCCTACGAATACTATTTATTCTGGTAAAACTGAAAATCCACTGCAATCTGATGTCACAAAACATTTTATAACATCTTACAAAATACTTTATTACAAAGCATGACAGTGTTCCTCTGATATGTGTATAGCGTCTGCACTCAGAACAGCTAATAAGTTATAGCGACCATTTCAACAAAATGCTGAAATGTCATTTTTTGAAGACTATATGTTGATAATTAAGACTATGGCATAACTACAGACCCCAGGGTAGCCCAGGACACTCTATAAAATATCCTGTAATACTGAAAATTGAACATACATGCTTCCAAAAGGATCAAACCTGACAAGGTATTAAAAAAAAAAAAAAAAAAAAAAGGATTCTAGTGACTGAGGCATAAAGACACATGCAATTACGGATTTCACTAAGTTCACAATCTGCATTGGGTCTTTGAGGATTTGGTATGATGTTAAATGAAAGCCAACTGCAGCTAAAAGACCAATCCCTTTCTTGATCCCACGTTCTAATGCAATTCTCAATGCTTTTATCCCACTACACCCTTACGCAAAATGAGGACTACACACGTCATTTTCCTTAAAACCTTCAAGCTATGTACAGGTGCTGGTCATATAATTGGAATATCTTCAAAAAGTTGATTTATTTCAATAATTCAAGAAGTGAAACTTGTATAATGTATACATTAATTCAACATAAACACTTGAAATATATCAGTCTATTTCTCTGATGATTATAACTGACAACTAATGAAAACCGCAATTCAGTATCTCAGAAAATTAGAATATTGCAAAAAGGTTCAGTATTGAACATTCCTGGTGCCACACTCTAATCAGCTAATTAACTCAAAACACCTGCAAAGGCCTTTAAATGGTCTCTCAGTCTAGTTCTGTAGGCTACACAATCATGGGGAAGACAATTGTCCAAAAGACAACCATTGACACCTTGCACAAGGAGGGCAAGACACAAAAGGTAATTGCAAAAGAGGCTGGCTGTTCACAGAGCTCTGTGTCCAAGCACATTAATAGAGAGGAGAAGGGAAGGAAATGATGTGGTAGAAAAAAGTGTACAAGCAATAGGGATAACTACACCCTGGAGATAATTGTGAAACAAAACCCTTTAAAAATGTGCAGGAGATTCACAAAAAGTGCACTGCAGCTGGAGTCAGTGCTTCAAGAACCACTACGCACAGACGTATGCAAGACATGGGTTTCAGCTGTCACATTCCTTGTGTCAAGCCACTCGAACAATAGACAGCGTCAGAAGTGTCTCGCCTGGGCTAAAGACAAAAAGGACTGGACTGCTGCTGAGTGGTCCAAAGTTATGTTCTCTGATGAAAGTAAATTTTGCATTTCCTTTGGAAATCAGGGTCCCAGAGTCTGGAGGAAGAGAGGAGAGGCACAGAATCCATGTTGCTTGAGGTCCAGTGTAAAGTTTCCACCATCAGTGATGGTTTGGGGTGCCATATCATCTGCTGGTGTTGGTCCACTGTGTTTCCTGAGGTCCAAGGTCAACGCAGCTGTATACCAGGACGTTTTAGAGCACTTCATGCTTCCTGCTGCTGACCAACTTTATGGAGATGCAGATTTAATTTTTCAACAGGACTTAGCTTTGGCACTGTGTGCAGGTGCCACCAGTACCTGGTTTAAGGACCATGGTATCCCTGTTCTTAATTGGCAAGCAAACTCGCCTGACCTTAACCCCATAGAAAATCTATGGGGTATTGTGAAGAGGAAGATGCGATATGCCAGACCCAACAATGCAGAAAAGCTGAAAGCCACTATCAGAGCAACCTGGGCTCTCATAACACCTGAGCAGTGCCACAGACTGATCGACTCCATGCCACACCGCATTGCTGCAGTAATTCAGGCAAAAGGAGCCCCAACTAAGTATTGAGTGCTGTACATGCTCATATTTTTCATGTTCATACTTTTCAGTTGGCCAAGATTTCTAAAAATCCTTTCTTTGTATTGGTCTTAAGTAATATTCTAATTTTCTGAGATACTGAATTGGGGTTCATTAGTTGTCAGTTATAATCATCAAAATTAAAAGAAATAAACACTTGAAATATATCAGTCTGTGTGGAATGAATGTATACATACAAGTTTAATTTCTTGAATGGAATTAGTGAAATAAATCAACTTTTTGAAGATATTCTAATTATACGACCAGCACCTGTATTTCTCAATAACAGTAAACAGTGTAAAATAAATGTGTAAAGAAACACACTGACGTTTAGTAACTTTTTCTCTGTTAAAAGTATTTTTTGTGCTGTCGGTCATGCCACTTTCTTTAAAGAATAGTTTTACAGCAGAATAGAAGCATATTAAGTAATTATCAGTTCTTAGGCTTTTACAAATGAATACTTTATGCCACCAGTTAATAAAGCAGTAATATGTAATTGGGCTACCCTTTCTGGAAAGGGCAAGCCAATTACAACTGCACACTTCATCAGCACACTGTAGGGTATTACTGATAACCATGTAAAGCCTCCATGGTTTCTTCGTTTTGATTAGCTTCCATGTAAACCGGATTAAAACATTAGTACATTGCTGAGGCACCCGTAAAAGACTGGAGGCTGCTCAGCTCACCTGATTTTGGTCATGTGTTTGAGCTCAATCCCCACGCAGCTGGTGTGACCATCTGTCATGTGCACACGCAGCATGCGTGGGGCAGCATGGGACTCCTCATTGTCTTTTGGAGCCGCCACATTCCTGAGCTTCAGCACCTGGAGGACAAATGGGCCTTCCAACTGCAGAGAGATGCCGTAAAATGACAGTTTGTGCATCACCTGGCCAACAGGCAGAGTACGTTCTTAAATGTTTTAAGTATGTAATTTCATACAAATTATATAATTCTTATGTCTGTATTATGTTATGTAACATAACAAACCATTCAACTTAAATTACAGAATTCATGTGTCTATCTCTTACATATTTCTTTACTAATTGAATCTGAACTAGCATAATGTTTCCATCGGAAGATCAATAAAGCACAATGCCATTTCTCTATCACCTCCTCTTTTTACAGATTTTAAAATGTGGGTATATGAAAATATATTTATCTCAAATATAGAACAAAAAACTTTAGTTTTGTAATGCTATCATAATAAGTGCATTAGTTTGGTAGTTTCATTTCAAAGTTGCCTGTGAGTGCCATCTACTGGTCAATGGCAAGAAATAAGTTGTCTATGTACACTAAATGGACAAAAGTATAGACAGGGATTGCCATAACTGGTAAGCAAGTACACATTCACCTTTAAAAGTGAGACGTGCAGCAATAGATTAATGTAACAATGCAAATACGTACGTATTTTAAGTGCATTTGTGCCGATATGACAAGAGATAACATGAATTTTGGCCTCTACACCAAAAACGAAGTACAAATTAGCATATAAAGGTTAAAATGCACGATAATTTCTTGTTATATCGGCGCAAATACACATAAAATATGAACGCATTCACGCTGTGACAACAATCGATAGCCGCACGTATGGCTTTTAAAGGTGAATAAGGCCTCCCAGAAAAAGGCCTCACCAAACTGTTTCCACAAAGTTGGATGCATAGAATTGTACGAAATGTCTTGTTATTTTCAAGCATTATGAGTTACCTGCACAGGAACTAAGGGGCCTAGCCCATCCCCTGAAAAACAACCTCATATCATTATCCCTCCTCCAAAAATTGTTACAGCTGGCACAATGCAGTGCGGCAGGTAACATTCTCCTGGCATCCGCTAAACCCAGACTACATCAGACTGCCAGACAGTGAAGCATGATTTGTCACTCCATAGAACACATTTCCACTGCTTCAGCATCCAGTGACAGTGTGCATTACACCACTTCATCTGACGCTTGTCATTGCACTTGGTGAAGACAGGCTTGCATGCAGTTGCTTGACCATGGAAGCCCATTCCATGAAGCTCCTGGCGCACAGTTTTTATGCTGGGGTTAATGGCAGAGGGAGTTTGGAACTCTGCAGATAATGAGTCAAAAGAGCTTCTTTTACGCACTATGCAACCCAGCACTCTGCGACTTTGCTCTGTTACTTCACATGCTCTGACATTTCGTGGCTGAGTTTGTCGTCCCTAAGATTCCACTTTGTAATAATACTACTTACACTGTGGCTGTGGAGTATCTAGCAGGAAAATTTCACATACTGACTTATTGTAAAGGTGCTAACGATACACATTTGAATTCAGTGAGCTGTTCAGAACAACCCATTCTTTCACAAATGTTTCTAAACCTGATTGCATGGTCAGGTGCTTGATTTTATACAACTGTGGCAATGGGTCCGAATTAAACACCTCAATTCAACGATTGAGAGGTGTGGGCCAATACGTTTGTCCATACAGTGTATCTATCTATCTGAATGCATGTAGTATGTTTCTGCAAAAATACAATTTTCTCTTGAAAGGACTGTATTAATTTTATTGGAAATAAGCACACTGAGAAAATTACTATGCAGAATATGGTATAGTACACTACGCCCTGAGTTAGAAACAAGCATGTCACTTTTATCAGCTGGCTCTACCTAGTGCATGGCTGATGACACTTCAGCAGGAGGTATTCACCCCCCCCCCCCCCTGAATTTTTTAAAGCCTGTTTATATTAATATATGCATACTATCCACCTTCCTCATACTGTCATACCATATCATAATATCATACCTTTTCAACTCTCCCACTATTGATATCAGTAGGGAGAATTTTCTTGCCAATCGGTCTCAGGTCACTCTGTGAAGATATATTACCAATGTAAAAAACGCACATATATCCACAAACAAAAACAACACAAATGAACAACACCGTAATGTGTATACACTGACACTTTAAAGATACCCCCCCAAACTTACATTAAGCAGAAAGTTGATGATCTCATGGAGAGAAGGTTTCTCTAAGGTGCTAATACATGTTTCCATTCCCTCCTCTGAAAGGTGCCTGGGTGCAGAAAATGGAAATTCAACAAACCCCCTTTGTTGTACCAGGTAGACCTCAGATTTCGTTATACTTCCACTAACACAAGGTTAAGGCACTATATTATTATTATTATTAGTAGTAGTAGTAGTAGTAGGAGGAGGAGGAGGAGGAGCAGTAGTAGTAGTAAACGCAACAACTTGGGGGAAAAATACGTATTCGCGTCTTTTTCAAAATCATGCCTAATGGGTAAAATAGGCCGCTGCGACGCAGGCTAACATCGGTTTCCAACTGATGAATGCGTCAACAAATCATAGTCATCAATACAAGCGAGCTACGCATATGATAATGCCGACAAGACTAACCCTGCCTTAAAGTTACGTCGGAAAAATCGTAAATTTACTACAAAATCGTATTTTTGGGAAACTCGGGATTATCTTTAAAACCCGAGTTCCCGAGTTGGGGGCGTGTCATTACAACAGTCATGGCGGAGGCAATGGAAAGCTCCACTGTGAAAGGCACATTATTTTAGAAGTAGTAAATTTTACGTAGCATATCATTGCAAAACTGTTCTGAATATTGAGGAGATTATTACATGGTGTACCGGGGGAAAAATTGATAGGTTTTGTCGCAATATTTGATATACAGCTGGTCAGCTACCTAATGTTTCAGCAAGAAATTACAGAAAGTTCAATTAACGCTACAAATGCGTTTAGGCGTTGGAGGAAGGAAAAATACAGCAAACAGAAAGTAGCTTTCTTATCGCCTCCATTTTGCTCCGACTTAACCACTAGAACACGCGTCATGTCGTAATTACGATTTCCTTACTCACTAGTCGGATCTTTTGAGTGGTACCTGGAGGCAGCATAACTCAGGGTTGCCAACTCTCACGCAGCTGGTGTGACACTCGAAATTTTACGGCATATATGCATTACTCCATTATAAACCTAAAATTAGCTGCATCTAAAGCGTTGGGTAGTTTGCAAACCCTAAAGACTATTAAGCAAGGTAACTGTTAAATGCATGTACATTTGTGCGTAGAATTGAGTTGAATTGAAAATCACATTCCAGCCAGCTGACCAAAGTTGGCAACCCTAGCAATGATAATTATGTATCCGCGCGATACTAAAAGCTGAATCACTACGTACGTCAACCATGGCCTAAGCTAACTTGCTTTTCGGGTTACATTAGAAAAAGCTCTTGCCATATTGTAATTATAAGACACTACACAGCCAAAACAAGACAATATCACATAGATAATCTAAAAACAGGGCTAGCGATTCCCATGTTACCTACCAGCCTTCTTTGACTAAAGCTGAGCCAATGTCTTCCATTTTTCTTCACGAACAAGTTTAAGAATATCGACAAAGGCTTCTCAAGCTAAAAATTAAAAGAAAATAAGCTCATCCGTCATTATTAATTAAAAAATTGTAAACAACTTATTTTATAGCTTAGTACAGTAACCAAAAGCATATAAACACATTGTTCAGATAGCCTAACAAAAAAATGCCGCCATCTTGGAAATGCGGAAAAGGTCAAAGGTAAAAGGTTTTACGTTCCATACATACGCGTTGCAGCCTAAAGTCCTGTCCCAATCTTGTCCTTGTTCTTTCCCAATACTTTTCTATTGGAGCTAAGAACAAAAGAAACATTGCGTGAGTTTAAAAGCAACCCTGCGAAAGACATGATAGCGGTTTTAGGACCTAGGAAGGAACAGTGTCAGTAAGTTTTACTTTCGCTGTAGTTCTTTATAACGCAGACAACCTGTATTCTATCGCCTAGATCAGGAGTCACATTTTCATGTCAACATAATTATGATAATACTTTAGTAATGATAAGTTATTTATTTATGGGTTAATATTATTTTTCATTTAGATACTTCTTTAACTATATGTGAATGAGGCAGTCCATCACGCGCTTCTGTGATGTTTTAACAGCATTAACATCTTCCTCAAAGTCATTCTCTACGACGAGACTACGTCTCCGGTCAAATGGTATGCTTTCCACAGTTTTCTTTAGTACAACATTTATTCTTTCATATGCTTTTTGTAGTAAATCGTCACCACGCCTTCCCAGGTCTTCGTAAAAATTATTATATTTCCTCCGATTTACATTTTATAGCCAGCTGAGTTGTGACTAAATTTGCACTGCTCGTCAGCACAGCAGTAGTGAAGAGGAGAGTGAAGGGCAGACGACTGCAGAGCCGAACGAAAGAAGGGGTGAGGGTGACGACTATCGCTACAGAACTGAACAATGTTGTAATATTAGTCACCTTTGCGTTGTTACGCGTCCGAGTGATTTAAAACTGAGATGCCCCCCGGAGTTAGTTTTCTTTATTTTTTGTAAGTACTTGAACTTTTGTTGTTGTGTTAAATCATATATGCCCATATCACATTTTTAAAAAATCGTATCTGAAATCCCCTTCTTTACCCATTGCGGCTCATTGTAAATCTTAGTTCAGATATTTAGGAAAAAAATGGCTCTTTGCTTTAAAAAGGTTGCCGACCCCTGGCCTAGATAATTAAAAAAATGTTTTAAATAGTGACTGAATCTACTACCCCGACTAATGCTTTAATTCCAATTATTTCTTTCAGCCCAGTTCGTTTAAAATCATTAATTAAAACTACAAACACAAAATAAACTGTGAATTATACTGTTGTGAAACTGCAAAAATGCTTGCATCTGGAATACTGAAAAATCACTTGTGATGTAAAATTTAAATTGATTATAAATTTGTTTAATAATTAGTGATTTGTTTAGATTTTTTACTCTGACTATGGGTACACTTCGACCAATGGAGGAAGTGGCAACCAGTTTTACACTCTGGGACCAACTTGGTGGGCAGTTTTTTTTTTTAAAACATATATACTCAGCAAAAAAAGAAACATCCCTTTTTCAGGACTGTGTATTTCAACAATAATGTTGTAAAAATCCAAATAACTTTACAGATCTTCATTGTAAAGGGTTTAAACAATGTTTTCCATGCATATTCAATTAACCATAATCAATTAATTAACATGCACCTGTGGAATGGTCGTTAAGACTTTAACAGCTTACAGAAAGTAGGCATTTAAGGTCACAGTTCTAAAAACGCAGGACACTAAAGAGACTTGTCTACCGACTGTGAAAAACACCCAAAGAAAGATGCCCAGGGTCCCTGCTCATCTGCGTGAACGTGCATTAGGCATGCTGCAGGGAGGCATGAGGACTGCTGATGTGGCTAGGGCAATAAATTGCTATGTCCGCACTGTGAGATGCCTAAGACAGCGCTACAGGGAGACAGGAAGGACAGCTGATTATCCTCGCAGTGGAAGACCACGTGTAACAACACCTGCACAGGATCGATACATCCGAATATCACACCTACGTGACAGGTACAGGATGGCCACAACAACTGCCCGAGTCACACCAGGAACACACAAGCCCTCCATCAGTGCGCAGACTGTCCGCAATAGGCTGAGAGAGGCTGGACTGAGGGCTTGTGTTGTTACACGTGGTCTTCCACTGTGAGGATGATCTTGTGTGTGTGTGTGTGTGTGTGTATATATATATATATATATATAAACATAAACTTTAATGGCCCTCAAAAGAAAAAAAAAAAGTACAGGTTACTGCGTACATTCCCAAATTTAGTTACATAATTTTCATTACCTCACTCTCTCCACTTCCACAACTTCCCCATTTTTTAATAGTTCCAGAAACATCTTCCAAATGTCAAAAAATTCTGAAGATCTTTTCCTAACCACTTAGGTCAGTATCTCAAGAACTAAACTTGATGTTACATTGTTTAACCATTGGTCCAAAGAGGGGCCACCAACATTCTTCCAGCATATTCCAATACAACGTTTGGCCTGGAGTAAGCAAAGGTCAACCATTTTTTTCTCTGTATGAGATAAATTACAATAATCTGGATAAGTGCCTAAAATACAGACCATAGGACTTAACGGTACAGGGGAAGATGTGATCTGAGAAATGTATTTTAACACTGAGCACCAAAACTTTTGAATCTCTTCACACTTCCACAAACAGTGGTACAGTGAACCTTGGTGATTGGTACACTTATAACATCTGTCCAGTATATTAGGATCAAATTTATTTAGTTTTACAGGGGAGACATACACTCACCTAAAGGATTATTAGGAACACCATACTAATACGGTGTTTGACCCCCTTTCGCCTTCAGAACTGCCTTAATT